CCAGGGGGAGTATTGGCAGCGCCGGGGCTCCCCAGCAGCCCCTCGGCAGATGGGCCAGTCAGTTACTGACAACGAGGCCACACTCCCTGGCTCCCCACAGCCTACCTAAGAATTTCAGCGTTGGGTCCACTTTTTGAGCCCTGTGGTTCATTCGTGAACAGATAATTTCTGTGTTTGGTTGGCATGTTTTTTCCTTCACCTTGCATCCTCTGCTCTTGGGAGCATGCCCATCCCCCAGTTGCTTCTACCTACAACAACGGGAATGCAGAGGTCAGGGAGGAGACAGTGAGGCCTAAAGCTGGAAAGTGGCTGGGGAGACTGGCGGCACTGTGGGGCTCCCCAGGGAAGGCGTTGGGATGCTCTGCTGCAGGCAGCCTGGGGCTGGGGGGAAGGCTGAACGGTTTTGAGCAGACCTTGACATTTTAGGATGATCGATCCAGTTGAAGGTGTGAATGGACGGATTGCAGTTCTCAGTGGTTTGATTCTTGTCAGGGCGCAAGCATTTCTTTAGTGTCTGCTGCATGCGGGATGCACTGCTGACCAGCGGAGACCATCAGTCAAGGCTCTGCGCTTGAGGTGCACACGGGCCGGGTTCTGGATGGCCGCACTGCCTGCTGGGGCATAAGAGATTACCCTGGGGTCTGGGTTAGTGCAGTACAAAATCAGCAGGCAGGTTCATCTGAGGGGAGTTGAGCCAGACAGAGCCCGAGAAGGTATCCACGTCTACCAAAACTTGCCTGAGGCCCCCATGGAGTTAGGCAGACACGGGGCCGGGGGGTGGGGGGTGCTCAGGGCTCCTGAGGTCAAGGCCCTGCTCCTTATGGGATTGATTATAGGCTGCAGCTCTGGGCTCACAGAACATGAAAGAGATGCAAGAGGGAGACTGAACTGTCAGGACAGAACATCTCCCTGATCCTTTTGTACCATCGTTGGTTTGTCTCACAAGCACAGTTGGATTCATTTCTGGTTTGTTAGTTATTTTTGATGGTCCTATCGTTTGCGTTATAGGACTGTCAACAGACACCTAAGATTTGTTGTTAACAATCAAAACCAAAACCAGCCCCTTTTTCAGCTTCCATTTGGCTGCCGTTGTCAGTCCAAGACAAATCCACTTGGTGTTGGATGACCAGAAATGGCCACACAGGGTGAGTGGAGAGTCAGACTGCAATCTGGGCCTCTTGGCTTTGTGTCCAGCTGTCTGGTCCTGGGTCCGGGACCGGTGTGTGTCTCCAAGAACCCAGGAAGAGGAGGCTGCCAGGCCTTCGGAGGACCTTCTTTGACTGGGCATTGCAAAGCCTGGAACGGTGACCTTGCTCTCAGCCCGCTCCTGGGCCAGCTCTCACGCTGATCCCAAGGCTCCTCACAGGAGCACTCTGTCCTTCTCAGCACACAAGCCAGGGAGAATCCTGGGTCCAGAAGTAACCTAGACATCATCTGGCCCCAACCGCTATTTAACAGATGAAACCCAACAATAACCAGATGAAGGGTGATGCAATTACAAATTCTAGAAAGATTAGGGAGAGGCCCCTGTGGCTAGATTTGAACTGTAGGCATCAGGATGCCGTCCTGTGAAATACAGAGCCGTGTCGGATCAATGGGCTGAGAAGCGGTGACACCCCAGTAGCAGTGGGTACGCCTAACATCCAGATTCTAGTTTCTAAATACCATTTTCTGCTAAAGGGAATCAGGGCTGATTGCAGGGCTGGGGTTTGGAAAGCACCAGAGGAGACGGGAGCATCCTGTTTACCAGGAGGTAAGGAAGTACCCCAAACAGGTAGGGATATGTCAAAGGAACACAGGAGCCCCCTTGATGGGACTCCCATTGGCCAAACTGGGGATGACCTGAGCGGCAAAAGACATAATGATAATAATAATTATAACACTTTGAATAAAGAGAGAATCCATGAGTCCATAGGGATACTTAAATGGGGCAGGGAGACCCCCTTCTGTACAGAAGAATGCCAAGAAACAAATGTAGGAGGAATGGTAGTTTTACAAAAATCACCGCTTTGTAACCATCAGCGTACTAACTGAGCCAGGCTAGGATCAACAATAGCCGCTGGAACCACTGGGTGAAATGATGTAGGAACGCAAGATATTCACTAGTCTCAGAATATCACTCCACAGATTGCTTATGAATCACAAAGAGTAAAATGCACAAAGGTGGGGTGCAACGGACACTACCTTCAACAAGGGAGTAGACTTGGCCTTATCAGTAGTGGAATAACCTGACAGCAGGTGCCCTCTGGTGACGTTCAGTTGAAAGGACTCCTCATTGTCTGAGATGTTTGCCAAAAATGCTTGCCTTGAATCTGAACACGAGGGGAAAACAACTGAGTAAATTCAGATTATGGGGTGTTCTACGAGACAGCTGACTTGAAAAATTGCTGTGCCAATGTTGAAAAGATGTAAGAAGCCATGCAGACTCTTCTAGATTAAAGAAAAGCAGAGGGACATGACAACGAAATGCAATGTGTGATTCTTTTTTTTTTTAAAGATTTTATTTATTTATTTATTTATTTGAGAGAATGAGAGATAGAGAGCACGAGAGGGAAGAGGGTCAGAGGGAGAAGCAGACTCCCCGCTGAGCAGGGAGCCCGATGCGGGACTCGATCCTGGGACTCCAGGATCATGACCTGAGCCAAAGGCAGTCGCTTAACCGACTGAGCCACCCAGGCGCCCTGCAATGTGTGGTTCCTGATGGGATCCTGGATCAGGACACAAAATAGTTATAAAAGACACTTCTGGGATAACTGGGATTATGTGAGTGTAGACCCTGGATTTGATAATACTGTGTATTGATTTCGTTTCTTGAAAATGATCCATAGATAGTAGTCACACAGAGAAATATTCTTGTTCTGTAGAGATACATGCTGAAGTATTTAGGAGTGAAGTGCCATGATGGCTATAATTTACTTGGACATGATTCAGCCAAAAATGAAAAATGTGGGGCACCTGCGTGGTGCAGCAGGTTAAGCACCCGACTCTTGGTTTTGGCTCAGGTCATGATCTCCTGGGTCGTGGGATCGAGCCCCACATTGGGCTCCACGCTCAGCGTGGAGTCTGCTTGAGACTCTCTCTCTCTCTCTCCCTCTTCCTCTAAAATAAATAAATAAATCTTTTAAAAAATGAAAAGTGTGTGTGGAAGGAAAGGAGAGAAAGCAAATGTGGCGTCGGATTAACAATGGAATCTAGGTGAAGGGCATTTCATGCGTATTCACTATCCAAGTTCAGCTCTTCTGCAGGTCTGAAATTTTTCAAAATAAAGTGTGGGGGAAACAGTAATGACAAGAGAAACAGCAATAGAGTGACTTACTTGGCTTTTTTTAAAAAAATCAGCTGAAGTTAAAACTCCATTCTCTTGATCCCTAATCCAGCAGACCATCACCTGTCCCTCTTCATCCAGGTGAATGGAGAGACAAGACAGTCTTTCATCCCCTGGGTTAAAGACCAGAGCTTTGAGAGGGTGTCACAGACCTACCCTTCCCAATCCTGGCGGCATCGCTAAGGAGATAAAGACCAGACACACATCGCCATCTAGTGGCCACATAAGGAAGTGTGTCTGGTTCTGCCAATTTTGAAAGCAAACTTACCCCACATTACTGGTCTTTCCCGCCATTGGCTTGGTTGTTACATTTTCCTGTTTGCCAAGCACTGATTTTTTGTTTCCCTAATTTCCTCATAAGGATTTCCAGTTGCTTTGGAGAAACAAGCCAAAAAGCTGATTTCCCCCTCCCGGAAACTGAATCAAGCCCCAAATCCTTTGATAATCCAGAAAAAAGAGAAAAACCCTGCTCATGTGTATTTAACCACCACACCCCAGCAAGCGGTTGGCCCTTCTGACTCCCTCTTGTGGAAATAAACAAAGGCCAGCCAAGTGAGAAAAGCAAAGACGATTTATTCTGAATATCTGTAGCGAGGGAGTCAGCTACCTTCACTTGTGTTTTGGCAGAGAAGTGGGAAAGCTTTCTCGTGGGAGAAAGGGAAAGCCTCAGGTGTGTGCCCACTGGAGGCTATTGATGGGGAAGCTGGAGGCAACTCAGGAGATGGGAGCTGTCCTGCATGATTGGTTGGGGGAGCACTTTGGCTTTCTCTGGTTGATTTTTTTTTTTTTAAGATTTTATTTATTTGACACAGAGAGATAGCGAGAGAGGGAACACAAGCAGGGGGAGTGGGAGAGGGAGAAGCAAGCTTCCTGCTGAGCAGGGAGCCTGATGCGGGGCTAGATCCCAGGACCCTGGGACCATGACCTGAGCCGAAAGCAGACGCTTAACGACTGAGCCACCAGGCGCCCCTCTCTGGTTGATTTAAGTGGGATGTGGGGACAAAGTCTGGGGAGGCTGTCCATGATTAATCAAGTCCTGGCCATTTGGGGCTGGTTGTTACAGAAGTTACTGGATTGGTGCTAGACATGGCAGTGTGGTTCCCTACAAGTCTGGCTTAGAGCAGGCTGGCTTCCTGCGCTGGTTATTGTAGAGAAGGGGGTTAGTTTCCCAGGCAGGTGGACAGGTGATGTGTCAAAGTTCTGTTTTTTTATATAGCACCTGGCCATTGTCTGTATATTTGGTCTTTCTCACTCTGGAAGCAGCCCATCCACAAAGCACCCAGTGTGGGGCCCACTGTGTTGCAGGGGAGAGACCCAGGTTTGGTTTTCAGTCTTTTTCTCCAGTCTGGGGAGACTCCTCCAAGCGTGGGTGGCCTCCTCTGTACAGAGCAGGGGCCATTCCTGCTGATTCCGGCCCTGGAAGAGGCAACACTCAGCCCTGCACCCCCACGGGCTCCCCCTAGAGGCTGGAGAGTGCAGTGGAATCTTGCAGAGATCACCTGTGAGATAGATACAGCTGCAGTGCCAGCCACAAGCTGGCCAAGGTCCTGACGCCCTGGGACTCTGGCTGAGATGAACAGACAGACTCACGGTCAAATAACTCATTGCTCTATTCCAAGCTGACATTGGCACCCCGGGCTCACCGAGGGTGCTTTTCCCCTTTCTCCAAACCCAGCCTCTTCGTGTGAAATGGTCCCACCTCAAGTTACCCTGGGTGGATCTGGACTGGCTCATAGACATCTCCTGCCAGATCACAGAGCTGGACCTTTCTGCCAACTGCCTGGCTTCCCTCCCCTCCGTCATCCCCTGGGGACTCATCAACCTCCGGAAGCTGAACCTCTCCAAGAACCACCTGGGGGAGCTGCCTGGTGTGCAGTCATCGGACGAAATCATCTGCTCCAGGTAGGCACCCGCCCCACGCAGGCCCCCCGGGGTGTGCACAGGGACCTCTGTACCCAGCGCCGCCCCCCCCTGCCCCTGCCACCGCCACAGTCTTCCTGCTACGTACTCCTTGATCGGAGTTTGTGATTTTGAAAACCCATTCTCCGTAAAAGGAGAGAAAATCTGCCTGTCCTTACACAGTTCTGAGGAATACGGTCCTCCCCTCCTTCCGAGGGGAACGCAGAGAAGTCTGGGCGGGGACGGTTTGTCTGGCCCACGTCACACTTCGCGTGGTGGCCATGCAGGCTGCTCGCCCGAGATGTCCGATGTTGGTCCTGCAGACAGAAATCTGAGAAGGCTGAACGCTTCCTGGCTGGGGTTAATAGTGAGGCCCAGGGGCACCCATTTTTATTTGACCTCCCAGGGAAAGTGGGAAGGGCCTCAGAGAAAGAGTTGCCCCTAAAGCGCTCTGGCAGCAGGTGGATGGCGTGGGCAGCTCCTGGTCTCCCATTGGGAAGAGGCCTGAGCCTTCCCCCTGAGGCTGCCTGGGAAGGGGGAGGGCCTTACCTCCACTGACATGCGGTGATCCTCACTCTATAAGGATCTATAAGCCGATTTCAAAAGCTAAGGCTTCACTTAGAGTGAAGTAAGAGAGAATGTCCCACAGAGCATAGGGTCAGAAGTAAGCCATGGGGAAGAAGGCGCTACACAAACACTTCAAGAACAAGTGTCTTCTGAGTGGGGGTCCTTAGCCAGGGCCAGACTCGGGGGTCCAGATAGTTCGAAGCATGGCCCTTGGGCCTTCCAGCAGCTTCTGGGACACCAGCTGACTTTGCTTTCATATATTGAGAAAGGTTTACATCCCTATTGGTCAGTGAGACCTGGGCCCACCAAAGAGACGTGTGATTTTCTCATCTACATGAGACATGGTAATAGTTAATGCGATGAATAGAAGTCCTGCCCGCAACGTTTTCAACGCACGCTCTTTAGCATTGCGTGAGGGGAAAAGAGAAATACGCCCACAGAGAAACATGTAACAGAGATGCTTTTCCTCTTTCTTCTGATGCCTTGACTGCCTCCCTCCCCAACCACAGGCTCCTCGAGATTGACATTTCCAGCAATAAATTGCCCCACCTCCCACCGGGATTCCTGCACCTCTCGAAACTTCAAAAACTGACAGCTTCCAAAAATTACTTAGAAAAATTGTTTGAAGAGGAAGGTGGTATGTTGTATCATCGGCACCCTGACCTAATTTGTCATTTTGTTCTTGACAGCAGTCTTTTTACCAATTTATTGTTTTCTTTTTCCCTAGCCACTAACTGGATTGGTTTGCGAAAGCTACAGGAACTCGATATTTCTGACAATAAATTGACAGAACTCCCTGCACTTTTCCTTCATTGCTTCAAGTCGCTCAATTCTCTGAATGTCTCCAGAAATAACCTGAAGGTGTTTCCAGATGCCTGGGCCTGCCCTTTGGTGAGTATTTTACCAGAAATCATGAAAGGCCTGTCAACCCGGCATCTCACGTGAACCAGAGCACAGGTCAGGGCTCTGTCTCACTTCCTCCCCTTGGTAACCAGGCTGGGTAGCAGCATTTCTGTTTTCCTGTTACCACGGAGTGGTGTCACTCAGCATCCAGCCGCTGAGTGTCTCAGGTGACTCACCTGAAAGCCAGCCCCCTCCCCAACCGCCCCGCCGGGCTCCGGGCTTGAGATTCGTGCCATAACACCCATAGAACTTTCCACAGTTACAGTTTGCACATCTGGCATAGGGGGAGTTCTGCCCAAAAGGGGGACACGGTTCCTTTCAACTAGCTGTGAAATAAGAACAAAGAAAAGAAGAAGAAATAATCCACGTCCACCGCACTGCCAATTAAATGGTGTTTTTGTTTCTGGGGAAGTTTGCTTGTTAAAACAGATGGACTAGCATAAAGAATGTTTATGTTTTATTGCTGTTGGTTTCAAACCAAGAAATTCTCCATCGCTAGCGTTCGCACTCTGGTTTAAACATATGTGTGTGGGAAACCGGCTCATCTCTAGAGCTTGGTCCGGAATGATGCTATTATTTCCAAGGACAATGGGCCAGATGTTCTGGAATGAAGGGATAGAAGCATGAGCCACCTTTGTGTCCCTCAGGAAACCATTCCCATCCCTTCCTTGGAGCAAGGACAGCAACATGGGACAATGATGCTTTATAGCCCCTTAGCCAAGTTGCATTTATGACAGAGCCTTATTGTCGTGTTCTGATTTTCCACATCAGATTTGGAAATGGTCTTTCCCATAAGCACCACTGCACTTAAGAAGCTAATTAATATCTCCTTCTCCTTCTCGTCAAACTCCTAGAAATGTTGTAAAGCATCCAAAAATGCCCTGGAATCTCTACCAGACAAGATGGCTGTCTTTTGGAAAAACCACCTGAGGGATGTGGATTTCTCAGAAAACTCTCTCAAGGAAGTTCCCCTGGGGCTTTTCCAGCTTGATGTAAGTCTGATAGCCCTCTATTTCTCATTTTTGGCTTCTGTGAGGGAATCAGTCCACATTGCAGTACAATCTGTAGGCTTCTCCTGAGCTTCTGAGACAAAAAAAAAAAAAAAAAAAAAAAGGTTCAATTGTCAAAAATGTGTGTTTATGAGCAAAGATTGGGAGGAAGTGAGCAACATGAAAGCACAGCCCAGCAGCCCTCTGTCTGGCCTTCTCTGGCCTCTGTCCTTCCGGGCCCCTGCCTGCCCCCCCCAACCCCTGGCCAAGGTGTACCAGTGTGCAAAGCCAAGGGAGCACTGCGGGGTGGGCCTTCCTGCCTGTCTCCCTCCCCAGAGGTGGCAGACCTGGAATTCCTGGGGGTCAGAAGCTTCTTTGGATGTGAATTCAAGAAAGTACCTTTTGCCAGAGCCCCATGTCCCCCTGCCCCGACCCACCCACCCGGGGCTGCTTTCTTATATTAGGTGGTTTGCCCACCTGTCTCTGTTTTCCCCACTCGAATGGGAGCCCCATAAGGCAGAGCAGAGCGGACATTCATCTCTTGGCACCCAGGGCCAGCCCCACCTCGGGGCCTGACCAGTGTTGGCTGAAGGCACCAGGGCAGCCCCGGGCAGAGCTCACAGGCCTCGCCACCCAGTCCTGCCAGGCCCGCCACCTGGGCCCCCACAGGGTCTTGTGCCGGGAGAAGTGCAGCTTCCCCTCATGTTCAGGGACCCCTAAAGGGCCAGAAACGTACCTTCTATCTGTGTGTTCTCAGGGAGGAAGGCCACCAAGTCTCAGGCCCCAGGGCCTGCACACTTTGATGGGGGCCCTGGTCGGTGAGGACGTAGGTCACTGTTACCCTCAAGGGCACCCCTGGCTTGTTAGCTTAGTCCCCTGCTCTGAGTCGGTATCCTCATTTCTCCCCAGCAGCATGCCGACTGGGTTCTCTGGTTCCCACCAAGGCCAGAAGCAGCAGATCAGGAGGGAAAGAATTTTGTCCAGGACCTTACTGCTCAGCCCTGTGGGAATTCATGTTTGCTCACTATCTCCCCCTCCAGATGGGGCTCTTGGGAGGCCCTGCACAACCCTGGGGTCCTGGGGCTTGGTGCATGCATGGCCCTATGAGACATTCGGTGACACGCTGGTTGTGATGGGGGCGGCCTGGACCCCCTTTGACAAGGGAGGAGGCGAGGGCATGGAGTAAGGAGTATAAAGTGGGGCAGCCCATTTGCACTCCTGAGCCTTGCCCACCGAGGACAGGAGAGTCCCTGTCCCTAGCGAAGGCTTCGAGAAAGGTTACAACGTTCTTCCTGTACTCCCACTAAAATAAAACATGTTACAAGTCCAAGGGCGGAGCTTGTCCCCCGCAGTTTCTGGTGGGCAGACAGAGAGCCGATGGCCAGGGGGTCAGCAGGGGGCACTGGGCCAGCAGAGGGGGCCTGGCTAGGGCAGGCAACCCTCTGTGTCCCCGCCACCCTGCCCCTGCACGGGGCATCCCCCGAGGAGGTCACGGGAGGCAGGGGCTTCTCGCCGCCATGTGATACCTTGGCCTCCAGGACTCTCAGCACCAGCCGCTGCTCCCCGGGCAGGCCCATGAATAATTGTCACTCTTCAGAAGGCCCAACGCTGAGACGTACTTGGACTCCTTTCATTCTGGAATGACTGCCTCCCATTGATCTGGAGGGAAGGACTGTGTTCAGACGGTCCTGTTGGCTGCGTTGGGTATAATTTCATGAGTTCTTTTTTTTTTTTTTTTTT